TGGGTATTATCCAGAGTGCGCTCTCGGATCAAATATTCCCTCGAATTGCCAACGCTGATTTAGCAAAGATGGCATGGGATCTGCTATATGGAGAATACCACGGTGGTGATCAGGTACGGTCGGTTAAACTCTAAAATCTTCGACGTGAATTTGAGTATACTAGAATGCGTGATGATGAATCATTATATGGGTATCTTACACATTTTAATCAATTGATTAACCAAATGAAGACGTTTGGTGAAGTGTTATCTAATGAAATACTTGTGCAAAAGGTTTTAATCAGTCTTAGCAAACCCTATGATCCCATTTGCCTTGTGATTAAGAATACAAAATGTATAGAGACTGTTGAATTACATGAGGTTCTAGCAATCCTTAAAAGCCAGGAACAACGTTTTGACTTGCACACTGTTGATGCTACTGATAAGGCATTTGCCTCATTCTCTGTGAGTTCGAATGGGCAACAAAATAGGGGTAACTCTCAACCCAGTGGTTTTAAATCTCAAAAAATCTGGAATGGAAAAGGCAGGAAGTGGGATTCAAAGCCTAAGTTTTAGCAAATGTCATTTATGGGTATTTGCACATAGTGCAAACTCTTCATTTTCCATGAATCAAGAAGTGACAAAACCTCAGTGCAAAGTATGCTCAAAGTTTCACTTTGGTGAGTGCAGTTATAAGTGGATATCCAAATGTCACAAGTGTGATAAATTTGGACATTGGGCTAAGGAGTGCACTACAGGTAAAGCTATTCAAAAGGCTAACTGTGCAAATCAAACGGAGGTATCTGGTAATCTATTCTATGTTAACTGTGTAACTACTGAAGCAAAGGTGAATGGAAATTGGTATATTGACAGTGGATGCAGCAACCACATGACAGGAAATGTCAATCTTCTTGTTGATGTGAGAACCAATGTGGCAGGAAAAGTGCAAATGCCAACTGGTGATCTAGTTAATGTGGTAGGAATGGGATCTCTTGTGATTGATACAACCAAAGGAAGGAAATATATCAGATAAGTGATGTATTTACAAGGGTTGAAAGAGAACTTGCTAAGTGTTGGTCAGATGGATGAGTATGGATATTACTTGCTATTTAGAGGAAAAATGTGTAGTGTTTTTTATGGACCATCACTTGACAGTTTAGTTATAAAAGTGAGAATGAAAGAGAACAGATGCTACCCTCTGTCTTTGATGCATAATGATCAGATTGTGTTAAAGACAAGCATCAATCCTTGTACCTGGACTTGGCATAAGAGGCTGGATCATCTCAATTTCAAGAGCCTTAAAAAGCTTAGAGAGAATGCTATGGTGCATGGTATTCCACATCTCAAAGATGTTGATGGCTGATGTGAAGGATGCTAGTTGGGAAAACAACATCGAGATTGGTTTCCAAAAGAGCAAGCTTAGAAAGCAAATAGTCCACTGGAACTAATACACACTGACTTGTGTGGTCCCATGCAAAATGAATCAATTACTGGGAATAAATACTTTATGCTTCCTATTGATGATCACATAAGGATGTTATGGGTTTATTTCCTAAGACACAAATATGAAGCCCTAACTTGCTTCAGAAAGTTCAAAGCAATGGTGGAATTACAGTGTGGTTTCAAAGTGAAGTGTTTAAGAAGTGACAGAGGGGGTGAGTTTGTGTCAAATGAGTTCGACAAGTTCTTAGAGACTGAAGGAATTCAAAGGTAGTTATCTATAGCCTATACTCCACAGCAGAATAGAGTAGTGAAGAGAAAGAATATAACAGTTGTAGAGATGGCTAAGGCAATGCTTCATGATAAAAGCATGCCATATTTCTTATGGGAAGAATCTGTACATACAGCTGTTTACATTCTAAATAGGTCACCTACAAAAGCTCTTGGCGATCTAACTCCATTTGAGGCCTACAGTGGCAGAAAACCAAGTATTGGACATTTAAAAGTGTTTGGATCACCCTGTTATGTTCATATACCAACTGAGATAAGACAAAAGCTTGATGCAAAGAGGGTCAAAGGTGTATTTGTGGGATATGCAACATGTGGGAAGGCGTACATAATATTTGATCCATGAAAAAAGAAGTTGATTTTGCCTAGAAATGTAGTTTTTGATGAAACCATGTTCTGGAATTGGAAGGAAAACTCTGAGAATTCTGTTGCTATGACATATATTCCAAATCTATCTATGTGGATGACATAGTATATATTGGAAGCAATAAAGAGATGTTGAATGAATTTAAAAAGATATGAAGGTGAAATATGAAATGGCAGATTTAGGACTCTTTCATCATTTCCTAGGAATGAGACTGATACAAACTGACTCAAGCATTTTCATTCATCAAAGGAAGTATGCTTCTTCCTTGTTGGATAAATTTGGCTTTAAAGAGTGTAAATATGTCTCCATCCCTCTTGTTGCCACTCAAAAATTAAGCAAGGATGATGGAAGTGGTGCAATAAATGAAGAGCAATATAGGAAGATTGTGGGCAGCTTATTATATCTCACTGCAACAAGGCCATATATGATGTATGCAGCTAGCTTACTAGCTAGATACATGCATTGTCCCACAAATAAGCACTATGGGACAGCCAAAAGAGTTCTCAAATATGTCAATGGGACACTGGATTGTGGACTGAAGTATGAAAAAGGAAAGATTGGATATTGTGACAATGACTGGGGAGGTTGCATCGATGATAGCAAGAGTACATCCGGTTATGCATTTTCTTTTGGAAGTGGAGTTTTTTCGTGAGCATCTGTTAAGCAAAATTGTGTTGCACTCTCAACTGCAGAGGTAGAGTATATCAGTGCATCAGAAACCACAACTCAGGCTATTTGGCTCATATTTGTTTTGCAAGATTTTGGGGAGCTACAAACTGAAGCAACTCCTTTGCAGTGTGATAACATATCTGCAATCTCAATAACTAAGAATCCAGTGTTTTATCAGCGGACAAAACACATTGACCGAAGGTATCACTTCATCAAAGATGCCTTGCAGCAAGGAATTATTGATCTAATCTATTGTCCTACCAAAGAGCAAGTAGCAGACATCTTTACCAAAGCTTTACCAAGGGAAAGGTTCAACTATCTCAGAGATAAGCTTGAAGTCATATCAGCTCAAAGCTTAAAGGGGGTGTTAGTGTATAAGCATTGAGCTAACTTGTGTTTAGTTGTGTATCCACTTTGGTTATTTTCACCAAGTGTAGGGCTTTTATTGTAATTATGTTTAAGTGACATGTGTAAAGATCCTAGAACTTAGGCAGATGTGTGGTTGGGATCATTTCCTGATGTAATGGTGAGAGTCCAGTTGCATAACAAACCATTATGCATTGTTGTGTGTGTGAGTGTATAAATACAGAAGAGAAAGAACTTTCTCTGTGATTTTGCAGAGAGTGAAGCACTCATATCCATCTTCATCCTTTCTATGATTTCATCTTCTTCTCATCAGAGATCAAGATCAGAGATCGCAGCACCATCAACAGTAAGAGAATCAGAAATCTCTTTAATTTGTTGCAAATAGTTAGAGATTGGTTGAGTTCCTTTTTGCAGTGATTGAAGGCTAGAACGTAGCTGATGAATGTGTACATCAGAAACACCACCAAAGCGTTGTTCAAGCTTGATCCACAGATCACGAGAGGAAGAGACACCAACTGTGAAAAGGATGACCTTTTCAGAGAGTGTTGAATTCAGCCAAATCAGAGGATTTTGATCTTTCTCATACTAAATCTCAAAAGGCTGGGTTGAATGATCGATTAGGAAGAAAAAAGGCTAAAGGCAAGGTTCTGTGCCTTTGATGATATGTAAAAGCTTGTACCGTTTAAAGATTGGAGTAAACAGTGCTCGTCATGGAAGGTAATTAGACCTCTTAAGCTTGGAACCATATTGTCGATGTTCTGAATTGTGATAAAGGTGTAGGAGCTTGATGAATTGGTAGTTGAAGAAGAGGAATTAGGTTTGAAAGTTTCACCGACTTAATCGAAGACGAAGAATCAAAAGGAGATGCCATCGTAAAGATATGAAACAAGATTTGAGATGTGCGATGAAATTGGAAATCATAGAAGCAAGGTCGGAGATTCACCGACGATCAAAGAAGAGCGAAAGCAATAAGGCTCAAAGAAGCGGTTAAGCAGTTAGCGAGAGATACCATATAGAATTCCAAAATAACTTCTGTAAAAAACTTCGATTTCATAGAATGAATAATAATTACATCAGAGTATTGTATATGTTGATGCACAAAACCGGAGGTCTTGGAACAACGTAAATCCGACCGTGAATCTGCAAATAATGTAAATGAAACAAGATGTATCGTGGTTCACCCCAAGGTTTGGGCTACGTCCACACTGATTATGTATTTATCTGAGGGAGAGAGAGCTCTGAGAGTGAGAGCTTTGAGAGGGGGTGAGAGGGTCTAGGAATTGGCCTTTGAGGGTGAGAATGAGGCCCCTCCCCATTGTGAAGATGATGGGTCATTTTATAGAATAAGGACTCCTCACTTATTACATATTTGCCCATTCCTTTATCACATAATTACATTTAAGTCCCCTGAGTATTTGTACGAGGTCTAAATACGAAAACCCTAAATATGGTATAAACAGTATATATACATTTGTGCACGCATTTACCAAATTGTCCCTAACACTTATAACTAATTACAACTGCAAGAATAACAATTATATTATACAAAGAAACATTATGTAGGAGAACTCTCTTTGCATCCCACCATAATCATTCAAATAAGAGATTATTTAGTCATTCGAATGTAGGTGCGAGTACGAGGTAACATATTTCATAATGAACTTTTTATTTATTTGATACACTTCGATGACTAAACAATTTTTTATTCGAATTTTTTTTTTTGGATGATTTTAAAATGAAGAAGATAAAAAAAATTAAACAATTCCGATTATGAAATTTATACGGCTAAATACTTGCAAATGGCGAAATATGTGTATTTCCGAGGAGATGCAAATATCATTAGAGTGGAAAGCACACTCAAAAAGCACTTAGACATGAGTTGCCAAGCATACCTATTTATGTAATCAATACATTGCTTAAGTTGTGGCTCGAAATGTCTAGAGATTCCTAAGCGCTGCAGTCGATCCACAGCCCATACATGTTCGAACAAGTCGACTGGGTATACATTAGGGACTGAAAGGAAGAAGAAAAATAGTAAAGATATACATGTGCACAGACACTTTTAAGGGAAGAGATTTCAATTTTCTTCAAAGTAATAGGGATTAGTTGTGGGATCCATTTTATATCGGATTTCAATGATCCGAACCGTATATTTGTTAGTCTCGATTTATAGATCTATGCAAACATTCAATTTAATCTGAAACTATTTGCCCATTTAATTGTCACGATGAACTTTCAATGCTTCTGAGAGTGTTTGTCAATTTCTTTGAACTTAATTAGATACTTCAAATATTTTCTATTTGGCTAATATTTTATAAGGATGATATATGACATGTGATGAGTAGATTTTATATTATATATTTTACCCTAATCTTAGTATATTTTGGTTAATATTTTGGAAGAATTTTAATACTTTGAATTGTATTTTCAATATAGGACTTTCGACTTCCTCTGGAGCAAAACAGGACCAAATGGACGAATTTTTGAGTAATTCTAGTTGGAGGACGTTCGTGAGTCACTTAGCTTGATCGTATCAAAATTTGGGATTTTTCCACCAAGCGGTTATTTTCTGACAATGAAATAAAGAAGCAGTGCGTAGTGCTGGAAAATGACGTTTTTGGGCTTAAATTGCATTTTTGGAGCCCAAGATGACCTCGGATGGGTTCGTAGCCTTCTGGAAAAGTGTTCAGAATATTCCAAACATTAAATCCAGCCATATTGGGCCAGTTTTGGAGCAGCTTATGGGTCCAAAACGTGGCTGTTCAGATTTTAGGCGAATTTTACCATTTAATTTAGGGTTATGTTTCCTATTTTATTGGATTATTAATTTTAGTTTCCTAGGGTTTGTGTGGAGGCTGAGCAAATATATTTGCTTGGCCGTCTACCATATTTCTCTACGCTTTCTTTTATGCAATTTTGGAGACAGAGAGAATTGTTAGGGTTTTGGAGACTTTTTACTTGAAGGTGCTTTCAATCATTTTCTTGAATATATTTTCTATGATTTCAATTATGAATATGCGGAACTAATTTCTTTTGCTAGGGCGAAGTCTTGAGCCTTAGCATGAATATGTAATTTTTATTTAATTGCTTATGATTGATTGTATGCATACTTTGAATTGTTAATCACCGGGATAAAAACTATCTAATTGTCTTAATGCCTGATCACCATTAGAATCTTTAGAAAAGTAATTTGATGCAATTTTGGTCGGAAGGTTCCCTGAAATTGACGCTGGCTTCTTGTGATTAATAATTGTAATTTCACTTAGGATGAATATCACGTCTTAAGGATTGCATGGTTTTTCAAAGGATTTTCATAAAGCATAATGAGTCTTTCATATTCAGATTTGATGCGAACGTCCGGATGGGTTGCATGTTAGATATACGTTCTATGTTGGAGGTTCCAAGTAGAATATGAATTAGGAAAATCTAACCATCAAAGTGGCATGTGTAGATCATAAGTAATTGGTAAAAATTCATAGGATTGCTAGGTGATGGTGAAACCCTAGTGCTTTCTTAATTTTATTCTCCCAAAACTGTTTTCTTCTCTCTAGCTCTAATATTGCAGATTGTTTATTTTAATTCATTAATTTCGTTTTTATTTTAATTAGGTTATAAAATCAATCACCTAAACTTCTACTTTAAAATAATTAAATGGAATCTGATTAGTTTCGAATTATTTAATAGTCCATGTGGAGACGACCTTGCGAGATCCGTTTATACTACAATAACCTTATGATTCTTGCAAGTAAAATAGGAAATTTAAGCCCGTTCACATGAGTAGTAAAAATCCTATCAACATGCAACTTGAAAAATAGACGAAGATTTTAAAGTGTTGGTCCCAGAACTAATTCCAAATTTGAAAAAAAAAAATAGAAAACCCTTCCCTTAAAGAGTCTACATGTATAAAACAAGTACTTTGAAAAGGTTTGAACAAACGGCATGCATGCAGTTAAAATGGATGGTTTTTTATTCAAATAAAAGGAAGAGAAGAAGAACCTCCGCCGTTGAATTTGTGAACGACCTGGGCCAAATAAGCCAAGCAATTTGGATCTCTGGTCTGCATGAGGGCATAGGCAGTGGAAGCCGGCGACATCATGAAAGAGCCATCTTGGGACTGCAGTTTTAGAAGCTTTTCCCAGTCCAAATCTGCCATTCCTTCCAAGCTGTAGAGCAGTGTTGTGGGCACTTTGTGCAATATTTCCCTCGGTATTCTATATATCCCACACCCACCATTAATTAAATGCCATGTAAAAACAATTTTTGTAGAAGTTTTAGCTTATTAAAATGCCTTCTGAATAATCACGATAGTATATCATTTGACTACACGCTTTTGTAACTGTAATGGATTATTATCTCTGTTTTTTGTTTAGGCATCATCTACAGGTGATTTTTTTTTTTTGTTAAAACCTACTGATAATTTTGACATCTCTAAATTAAAATAATTAAAAAAAAAGTTTAAACTTCTCTCTTTCTCTCTCTCTCTCTCTCCACTCTCATTCTCTCTCCCCACTCTCACTCTCTTCCTCTCGTCTTCAATTTAAAAAAAAAAATATATATATATATATATATATATATTACAATACACCTTGTGTGTGGGCATATACTAGTGTATTTTTATTACCCTAGTTTGCCAACTCCATTTATTAACTCATTAACTTTTGATTATGGGTTGCTCGATAAGTCGTTAATATGTCATCTGTATAATTGACCTAAACTACCATCTTTTCATCCAAAAGTGGGTGAAAATACTATTAGTCTTCTATCACAATAAAAAAGTTCAGGGCAATAACATAATTTTACAAATCAAAATTTTGCTGTTTTTTATTTAAGCATCGCCTACAAGTGATTTTAACATCTTTAATTTTAAAAAAAAATTAGAAAAGAAAAGTTTAAACCTCTCTCCCTCTCTCCCCACTCTCACGTTCTCTCTCATTCTCTTCGTCTCTTCTTCAATTTAAAAAAAAATAAAAAATTTCACATACACCTTCTGTGTGGGCATATACTAGTGCATTTTATATTACCCTAGTTTGCCAACCCCATCCATTAACTCGTTAACTTTTGATTATGGGATGCTCGATAAGTCGTTAACATGTAATCCGTGTAATTGATATCATGTCGTTACCATGGAGCAAAATTTACAGTACGTCAATGAACTGAGACGGACTGGAGTTATGGGATTATGTGAGATGTAAAAAATGATACTTTCGTGATAGTTCATGTCACATTTTGATATATAGTAGACTTATTAATTGAAATATCCCTTAAAACTGTCATTTAGTCTCAATTACCCTTGAAATTGGTTTTGTCTCACTTTGCCCCATGAAACTAACATTTTCAATTCTTTTGGTCTCACTTCACCCCATTTCATTAAAAAAAAGGTTAAATTCAAGGATATTTTGAATATTTCACTTTTTACACACCTCTTGGAATATGTAAGTTAAGGTCGAAATTGTAATGAACCTATTGCCAATTGGAATATGTGACTCAACAATGTGAAATTGCTAATTGTGCACATTTGCTTTAGACGACTATTTCGGTTTTGGGGTTTGCATAGGAAGCATTTTGGACAGATAGCTTAATGGTTTTTTTTTTAATTTTTTTATTATTATTATACTTTTTACAATTGATCTGAGATTATTTTATATGGGGTAAAACTTGTGGTTAGGCTGATCATGTTTCATTTCTGTCGTAACAAATATTTTTCAAGTGCAAAGTTTACATTGAGCCAGTACATGGATGTCTTGCAAGGGCCATGACTCTAGGACAAAATTGTAATCCTTATTTTGGTTGATATAATGATTTTGTTGCTAGGAATTCTTCTATTGACTGAATCAATTTTTTTTAAAAGGCCCAAAAGTCATGGATTTGAATTAGAGTTGTCAAAAATGAAATAGAGATTATTTTAGAGTGTAGGCTAGAGATAAATAGATGTGTAAAAAGTAAAATATCCAAAATACCCTTGAATTTAACATTTCTTTAACAGAATGTGGTGAAGTCAAACAAAAAGAGTTTAAAATGTTAGTTTTAGGAGGTAAAGTAAGACAAAACTAGTTTCAGGGGGTAAATTGAGACTAAATGGCAGTTTCAAGGGCATTTCAATTGATAAGCCTTAATAATAATACAATATGGTCATTTTGATTCTGGTCGCTAGTCAATCTAATGTTAGAATGAAACCTTATTTGTTTAGATAGTTTGATCAAGGTCCCTAGCATCATTTAAGGGACTTAATTCATGCATTTATGCATCCAATATCCCAAGAATTATGATATTTAAACAAATTCAAATAATATTTTTACTATATAACAATTACTTAAAATCAATAATAGAGTAATATTGTTCTTCACATAGTTCTAGCAAAAAAATAATGTATCCATATAATTATTAATATAGTTTAAGAAATAACTATTGACTTATTTTAAACATAAAATAAATACATATAATTAGCATGGGTACATTCACAAAAAAAAAAAAAAATATGGGTACATATTAAAATTCAAAATTATGGATACAAATTAAAACTAAAAAGAAAATTGTCAAAATAAAAAAAACAAATTATAAATAAAATATATGAAAAAGTATTAAAAAGATATATTTGAAAATGATTAATAAGTTTTTCATTTTTAAAATTGACATATAATAACTTGTAAATAATTTAATGTTCAAATAATGACATGGAGAAAAGTGAGTAAAGAGACCAACATAAAAAATGAAAAAGGAATAAGATTTCAATTAATGAGAAATAAAAAAGGGAGATGAGAATCTAATTTTTTCTAAACAATTAACAAACAGAAAAAAAATGCAAAAATAATGATGACTCATATGCTTACTTTTTGAGCTTTAGATTTCTCATGGCATAAATCTCATTCAACACAGGACTGTCATCAGGTACTTCCAGGTTTAAACTCCGAGCTACTTCAATAATTGAAGGAAAAACAATTTCAAACCCGATCGGCATGTGCTTAGCATTCTCGTTCCCAAGATTACTTATGTTCTTCTTGAAATATGCCATTCCTACAACAAGATTATGGAATATGGTCACAGTAAAACAATTAAACGTTTTCCTTCAGTTGATTAGTGATCTGTCGAGATCACATCATGGGAATTAAACATTGTGAAGTTGGTCAAAACGAGTATAGTTAGTACCGTATTACCTTTTTTGCATTTGTCAGGATGAACGTTCCACGATTTGAGTGCTACAACGCAAGCTATGGTGTTGATGATGCGATCATGAGCAGTGAAACTTTCACTATCGCCCCAAGAGCCATCTAGGAGCTGATTGTTGGCAATCCAATCGAGGGTGGATGGAAACTGAGGCAGACCACTTCCCTCACCCTCAACATCGTCCACTAAAGCCACCCATGCGGTGTCGTATGCCGAGATTGATATCTCCCCGTCCTCCATCGAAGCCAACATTGATCTAATGAATTCAACATGTTCCTTGATCTTATTAATCAATTTAAAATCCTATCGAAAAAAAAAAAAATCAGAAAAGATGAAATTGTAAGAAAGTTAAAATATTACTGAAAATAGAAGTATATATAGAGCACTTACCATAGGAGCTGCTTCATCTCCTTCTATGTCGTCCTCTGCTTCATCTCCTTCTATGTCGTCCTCCACACTCTCGGGCCGCTTCAGAAGCAGATCATTATTTTGTAACACGAGATCTGCATAGGTATGCTACCGTGAGTAAAAGAGTATATGTAAAATATCAATGGAAAAGGTAAAATAATATAGAAGAATTACCTTGAGTTCGGGGTTTTGAAACCGTAATGCTTTTGGAGCGAAAAAATCTTTTATCTTTAGCCCCGAATAGCCAAACTCCTAGAAAGGGTAGTGCAGTCAAATTAATTACTGGTCTCTAGTGTTAAAAGTTAGTGTGAATTTGACTACCGAAAGGTAAGTAAGTTTTGAAAAGACAAGAACTAATGCTGGTTAGCGGAAGAACCTAGCTAGGTCGCAGTTTTATGCGTGGTAAAATACATAGGTTCTAGCTAGCTCTGAATCTAGGATACATGAGAGAATCTCTCTTAAATCAAATCCAGCTAAAATAGATTACTAAAATTAAATTGAGAAGATATATTTTTCTGCAAGCAACTTTCTTGACGCTGAAAATTAAGATCGTAAGTGTCAATGTTTGGATGTGGAATATTTTACATCTTCAATAGTTTCTGTCCACAACGATCCATGACAGAAAGAAAAAAATTGAACAAGGCTTCTTGAATTTTCTAGGAAAAGAAACGGGAAAGAAAATGAAAAGAAAAGCAAGATCCACGATCTTGGAATGGTGCAAAGTGTGCCATGGAGGGAGATAAATAGTAAAAAGTAATTGAAAGGTGACATTGGGGACTTACGCGGTGATTGATTAATAATGGAAAGAGAAGAGGAGGTGGTTCGTCGAAGAGATGAGAGTGCAGAGAGAAAAGGCTGGGCGGAACCAGAAGACATTTTGTTGTTTGTTGCGTGGAAGAAGCAGCAGGCGCACAGTATAGAAATGAAGAGAGCTCTCGAGGGATTTTAAAGACATAAAATTATAAAATAAATATAAAAAAAGCATTAATAATTGAGTTTAAAGACTTGTGTCAAATGACAACTGAATCATCCGTATATGCTTTTGTCTTTGTTTCTTTCATGTCTCCTTCTTTCAACTTCTTTGTTGGTGTCAAAATTTAGATGAGAGTAATGCTATTCATACTATGTTTTTGTACCATATTTTTATACTATCTTAGATGGCATATAATGTGGACAACCACATCATTTGAATTAATCATATTTTTAAATTTAGTTTATTATTTAATAAACTAATAATTAAGAAAAACTAGTTAATTAAATGATGATTGTGGTATACGATGAGTCTTTCTCCTTCATTTCCTTGGATTTTGCAAATTTTTCAAATGATATGACTATCCACATTAGATGACACCTAAAGTGGTATAGGAATATGGTATAAAAACTTGGTATGATTAACACGAAACGAATGAATGGTTCGTTGCTTTTAGTCTGTGAGAATGCAAGTGAAGTGTCCTTTGGGATGTTGAGTTGTATGAATGTGCTACATCCTGCACGGCACTTAATACTGAAAGTCCAGCACAACCAACTATTTGATAATTGACCCAAAAAAAAAAAAAGCAGCCAACCTATTACTTGATTTTTTTTTTTTTTTTTTGTGGTTTTTTTTGTTGGGGGGGGGGGCCAACCTACTACTTGATTTTTTTTTGTGGTTTTCGTTGGGGGGAACCTACTACTTGATTTTTTTTTGTGGTTTTGGGGGGGGGGCCAACCTACTACTTGATTTTTTTTTTGTGGTTTGGGGGGGAGGCCAACCTACTACTTGATTTTTTTTTGTGGTTTTGGGGGGGCAACCTACTACTTGATTTTTTTTTGTGGTTTGGGGGGGGACCTATTACTTGATTTATTTTTTTTTTTTTTTTTTTTTTTTTTGTGGTTGGGGGGCACCTTTAATTTTTTTTTTTGTGGTGGGGGGGCACCTTTACTTTTTGGTTTTAAAAATCGTATTACTAAATTTCCCGCTTCCCATTTTTGGTGCGCCTAAATTTTTAGAGTTTTGTGCGACGTGTTGGTCGCGCAATGTCACATCCCGGCCAGGGCTGCCACCACATCCTGGGCTTGACTCCACCGTAGCACGATATTGTCCGCTTTGGGTCCCAGCCACGCACTCATTGTTTTGTTTCTGAAAACTCACACTAGAACTTCCCAGTTCACCCATCCTAGGAGAACTCGCTTAACTTTGAAGTTCCTACGGAACCCGAAGCTAGTAGGCTCCCAAAAGTACTCGTGCTAGGTAGAGATGAAAATATACATACAAGGCTTACATGATCCACTCCCCTGGGTGATGTGGGATGTTACAATCCGCCGCCCTTAGGGGCCCGACGTCCTCGTCGGCACACTTTCGACCAGAGATTGACTCTGGTACCAAATTGTCACATCTCGGCCTAGGCCCCCACCACATCCCGGGCTTGACTCCACCGTAGCACGATATTGTCCGCTTTGGGCTCTGACCACGCCCTCACAGTTTTGTTTCTGGGAACTCACACGAGAACTTCCCAGGGAGGTCACCCATCCTGAGATTGCTCTCGTGTGAACTCGCTTAATTTTGGAGTTCCTACAAAACTCGAATCCAGTGAGCTCCCAAAAGGCCTAGTGCTAAGTAGAGATGTGATTATACATATAAGGCTTACATGGTCCACTCCCCTAGGCGATGTGGGATGTTACACGCAAAGTCTTAAATTTTTTTTTTTTTAAAATTCCCGAATCCCATTTTTAGCTCCTGCCCAAATTTAAGGATTTTGTGCGACGAAATATTAGTTCGTAGCTCAAAGAAAATAATAAAAAATAAAGAAATTATTTTGTTTAACAATATACAAATAATAAAAAATAAACAAGGTTTAGGCAATGAAATATTGATATCCGTCGCGCAAAGTTTTTTAAAAATAATAAAAACTTATGAAAATAACTATATTTTAAAATTTATAATATAAAATTAAATAAAAACGAAAATAAATTGGTTTAGGTGACGGAATATTTGGATTACGTCGCGCAGAGATTTAAAAAAAAATTATTTTATTTATTTTTGTAAAAACTTTGCGCGACAAAGTTTAAAGTTTCATACTAGACACATTTATGAAACATGACCAAGAACTAGGCACTATTTATGAAAGTGGATTAATAACTAAGCACTATTTATGAAACTGAACCATGAAATAGACTATTTATGAAATTGTACCAATTACTATACACTATTTATGAAACTAAACCCAATAACTAGGCACTATTTATGAAACATGATAAAAAACTAGGCACTATTTTGTAAAAGTAGGCCAAGAACTAGGCAATATTTATGAAATTGGACCAATAAATAATGTAGTACCATTTAGTTTCATAAATAGTATAGTACTGTTCAGGTTTCATAAATAGTACAGTTTTGTTAAGATTCACAAATAGTGTAGTATTGTTCAGTTTCATAAACAGTGCCTGTAATGGACGCACGGGTCCCGCGCGTCAGGTTTTTTTTCTTTCTATTTTTTTATATTAAAATTGTGTCATTTTCATTAAAATTTAAGTTTTTTTTGTCCTTTTTATTAAAATTTAAGGGTTTTCATTAATATTTAATTTTTTTCATTAAATAAAGTTATACCATGGTTTTTTGTTAAAATAAACTTGGCTCAAGTCATTTTCATGAAAGCTCCATTTTTTGGCATATGTTTTCTATTTGTTAATTTTGGTATAATTATCAAAATATGATATGAAAGTATCACTGTTATGTATCTCACATAATCGCATAACTCCAGTCCGTCTCAGTTCATTGACGTACTGTTAAATTTTGCTCAACAATATCGCCATGACATCAATTATACAAATGAGATATTAACGACTTATAAGCATCCCACAATCAAAAGTTTACGAGTTAATACCTAGATGGAGTTGGAGAACTAGGGTAATAGGGTAATGGTATAGATATACTTTTGTGATTATACAAAAGGCATTTTAATAAACTAAAACTTCCCCAACTTTGTTTTTACATGGTATGTTATTAATGGTGGGTGTGGGATATATAGGATACCAAGGGAAATAATGCACAAAGTTCCCACAACACTACTCTACAGCTTGGAAGGAATGGCAGGTTTGGACTCGGAAAAGCTTCTAAAACTGCAGTCCCAAGATGGCTCTTTCATGACGTCGCCGGCATCCACTGCCTTTGCCCTCATGCAGACCAGAGATCCAAGTTCCATGGCTTATTTGGCCAAGGTCGTTCACAAGTTCAACGGCCGAGGTTCTTCTTCTCCTCTTTTTAATAATAATAAAAAAAAAAACCCATCCATTTTAACTGCATGCATGCCGTTTGTTCAAATTACCCTTATTAAACTACTTGTTGAAAGAGGTTTTAAAATCTTCATCCCTTATTTATATATATGCAGTTGATATGTTTACTAGTTTTCTTCTTCCTTTTCAGTCCCTAATGTGTACCCAGTCGACTTGTTCGAACATGTATGGGCTGTGGATCGACTGCAGCGCTTAGGAATCTCTAGATATTTCGAGCCACAACTCAAGGAATGTATTCATTACGTAAATAGGTATGCTTGATAACTCATGTCCAAGTGTTTTTTTAAGTGTGATTCCCTCACTAATAATATTTGCATCCCCTGGAATGCACATATTCCACCATTTGCAAGTATCTTCACCGCATAAATTTCATAGTCGGAACTGTTCAATTTTGTTAATCTTCATTTCTGATGCCTTGGTACTTGCACCTACTTTGGATGACTAAATAATCTCCGATTCGAATGATTCTTATGGTGAGATGATCTTCAAATGAAGATTAAAAATTTAAACGGTTCCTATTATGAAGTTGATATGATGAAGATATGTTATTTGCAAATAGTGGAATATGTGCATTCCCCTCTTTGGGGGATGCAAGTGTTATTCTTCTCTCACCATCAAATAGCCTCAAATGTTATTCTTCCCTCACCATCAAATAGCCCACAGCTTTCAGCCCATTCTGGATTACACCCGGGAGCTTTTCTCTCGTGTGCATATGTGTTGTCCGCATGGCATGGGCTGCGCATGTCCCAATTTCATTAATACATACAGCGACTCGAACGACGTAAACATGATATTGCAAATGAATATCAACATCATATTAACAATGTGAGAGAGTATAAACCCAACCATACAAACGCCATATTACAATGACAAAATTGATCTACATTCCTAACAATATATAGAGGGACGAATGACAAACACGACTATGTAAAGTTGTTTTTTTTAATTTTATTACAAACGATATTACTACTGTAATTTACAATGAGAAGATGAGTAAAGTTTGAACCCGGAACCCAATAATTTGAAGAAGAAAACTTTGTAGACATCAAAATTTCGGTGAAATAAATGTTGACCAATGCATAAAAATTTCAACATGCCGAGGCATATATGTCATGTGCCACGTGTCGCACAAATTGTACATATAGCGTGTGACTCAACAAAATCAAACGAGTCATGAAGATGGACACGTGTCAACACTTGACATAAAGGAATTATTTGGTTCTAATTTTATATTCAAAACCAAGCCTTGAAAATTTTTATAAATAGGAGGCCAAGGCATTCATTTTGGGGGGACCAATTCACTCATTCATTCTCTACACCCAAATTGGAGGAGAATTCACTCCACACATAAAAAAAAACCCTTGAAGCTTTGAAACTCTAAAGCTTTCAAACATCCAACCTCCCAATTCATTCATTCTTCATTCTTCGCCAACACTTTTGAAGAATCAATAAGCACCGCTACACATGCCGGTTCTTCCTTTGCTACAAGCCAAATCCTTGAGGCAACCATTCATCCAACATCAAGTCATTGCGACCCCTAGATCAACAACCCCTACATCACAAGAATCAACAAGCACCACTACACGTGCTGATTCTTCCTTCACCGCAAGCCAAATCCTTAAGGCAATCGTTCATCAAAGATCAAGTCATCGCAACCCTTGGATCAACACATC